GGCCCCCTCCCGCCAGACCCTGGCGAGCGGGCCCTGCACCCCGAGCGCCGGCGCGTGGCGTTAGCGCTGCCGCGGCAGAAAACGTTTCTTCTTCGGCTGGTCTGCACAGAGAGCGCGCTGGGGTGCGCGTGAAACGACACGGTCGCAGCGCTACTCGCTGCCTTCCCTGCGGCATCTCGCAGCGTCGCTCTTGAACGATTTTGTATTCGTAGCGCCTGTTACAACGCTTGACCAAGGGAAATAACAAAGCGGGGGCCGGAGACACAGAATTTGCAACCCCCCTGCCCGACACCGGCCTCGGCAAAGAAGCTTCACAAGCGTCCGCGGAAAGCGTCCGACTGCCGCCTCAGCAAGGGTGAGCCCTGGCTCTGCTGGGCTCCCTGCGCGTTAGGGCAGAAGTTCAGGAAGCCAAGAACAGTCATGAGAGGTAAATCATTGTAGTGCCACCATAGGCGTCCAGCTTGCGTGACATTCCGCCTGAGCTCGCTGCTTACCACCCAAGTTCCTTTCATGCTGTGTCATTCCATGCTCCCGTGTCACCTCGCAGGTGCTCCTTGTCCCTTGACCCGGTAAGAACAGTTGCCACCACCGTTGCCAGTTTGTGACTTCTGTATTCCATGCTGGTATTCTCAGCTGTAACAGTTGGAGACATGGGTTATTTCTGCCTTTAACTGCCAGAACACCGCTGTCACAGATGTCACTGAATAGTTTTGAAATCTAGAGGAAGCTGTGAATTCTGCTTGTGATTATGCAGTTCTGATCTGCAGTAACCAAATGAGCTACCAAGCTGGCAGAAACACCACACAAGTCATGTCGTTAGTAGTTCAAACACACAGATACAACATTTTACAAAAATTCTAACACAATGAGTTTTCCCTGGAAAAGAAAGTCACCGGCTTAGAAAAAAAGAGAAGAAAGTTTCTCAAAATAAAAAGAAGTCACTAATTTTAACTCAAAGATTCCTTGCTTTCTCGAGGTGCCAATTCTGACAGCAAAAGGTTTAAATAGATACTCAGGGAAAGGAAATCCTCCCTAGACAAACAGTTCATGTGATAGTGGGCACAACAGACTGGGGGAGGGGGGGGGGCGAATCCCCAACAGCAACAACAAAAAACTTGTCTGGAATTAACCCAGACCAGCCTTGCTTCCTCATAGTCTGCGCCAAACGGCCTTTCCTTCTAAAAACTGCAAGTGATGTGGTGCTTACCTCACAGGAACCAGAGAGGGAAAAAGGTGAGTGAGAAAGGATAAAACCAAGTCAAGCAGATACAGCGAACACTTCGAGTGGTCTTGAAGAAGTTGGTCGGTACCTGACTGCAGAAAGTGGTGCCAATGAAGGACGCTTACGTGTTATGAATGCTGTAACACTGATTTGCTTTGGCACTTTAAGTACTGGAGGCAAGCTTCAATTACAGCAGCAGTCAAAATTTTTCTATAAAGCTAAAATTTCAAGTCTTCAACAGATTTTTTGGGGGGCAAAATAAGTCCTCTTGTGCAGGAATCAGGACCTAAGTACTTATTAAAAACTTCGTCTGCTGAATTTTACCTCCACGTACAACGCGATTATTTAATCCTCGCTGTAACCAAAAGCGGCGTTTGGGTACTCAAATTCTGAATAGACAGTAATGAAAAAGAATGACACCAAGAACTCACCAGGATCTCCTCTGTATGCGATTCCGTGCCGACTTAATAAATCTTTGAGGTTTTTTATTTCTTTAGAAAGTTGCTTGTATTCCTAAGAGAGAACACACACGTAAAATGGCTGTCCCAACTCTCCAAACGCATACATAAAATGGGAGTTGACCAGAAATCAGGGCTCTGCACACAGCTGTTACAGTCTTTGACTTAAAAGATCTTAAAAGATAAACTGCTTATTCCAAGAACACTGCCAGTTTTACAGAAAGATACATTTCTGTTGCCGAACTGGAGCCAGCTTTCTCCACGCCTGAAAGCAAAAATTGGGAATGCTTTCTCTAACTGTCTCAGATCTGTCTGCTAATGAATAGTTTCATCACAGCACAAGACTGCATTCCTCAGTTTGCTGAAGGACCAGCCTTATTTTATTTTATATCATCACGCTACAGCTTGGGAACCTGTCACCTCCTTAACTCCTGACCCAGCACCTTCATGTTTGCGCTTTCAGCAGTTTCTGTTAACTCACAGAGCTGGGGATGGCTTCGTGCTTTTGAGACTCCAACCATGGATCTGAAGTCTTGAAGCCGCCCCAGTTTTTTACTGTGTTTTGGTTTTTACACAAATCAAGAAAGAGCAAAAGATCAACTACTGAAGATTCCGTGGTTACCAAAACAGCCACTGTGACGTCAATGAAGCTATGATGAAGCCAGAAAAATAAATACGAATTATTAAATACTGTATTGTTAACTACTGGGAAAAAAAACAGGCAAATACTCAGCTCCTAACGGTACCACACCAAAAGGGTGGCCTTTACGGAAGCTTAACCACAGCCGACTTGGTTATACTCAGGAATTACTACGTGGTGTTTTGCCTGTGTTACCTTTTCAAATAAAATGGCAGGGGCAGCTTCTCCTCTGCATTGTAATGAATTCCTTCCCTTCCAAGCTCTCGTTTTGGTGTTCAGCCTCCGCTCTTTGAGGCCGAGCACACCTTCCACCCCTCTCTTCTCCATGGCAGTTCTGTTGCAGGGGACTGTTCACACACATCAAGGTCACCCAGGAATGGACACGGCATAGCTGGTTCTGCCTTTCACTTGTGTAACAGCCAACGCGTTCCGACACAGCTCTGGGTAATTATCCACAGAGAGAAGCGTCAGCATTCCCAAGGCTGGTTACACATCTATTTTCACTGGTAATTCCTTCCCGTTTCCATACTGGCATTCCCCAGGAACAGTCCTCCCGAGGTGTTCATAACCCAACTGCCTACACTAACTCCTAAGTACTGCCCCCCCATCTCCTCCCTGGGCATTCAGTTGTGCTTGTTTGGTTTTTACTTAAGGGCTAGAATAAAGATCTCCAGCCACTCTGTATGCAGGCTGTCACAGTGAAACCAGGGAAGAGAATCCCGTGAGCAGATGTCGGCTGAATCCGAAGCGTGTTTACATGACGCTGTCACACTGATGCTATCACCCAGCAAGAAGGTGGCAATTTAATTCCACATTGTAAACATTATGCTTTATACCTTACTGCACTTCTCCACTGTTTCAAATTCCAGGCTTATTTGCTTATTCTGTTTCTCAGCTTCCTTTTCTTCTGTTGCCTTTAGAAGTCCCGCTTCCTCAAAAATCTCTTTCAGTATTTTTTTGTATCCCTAAAAAAGAAAGTTTCCAAAAGACAATAGATCCCGACTCGCATGCCTACTTGTCATTAGCGCTGCCCATTCCAGTTCCTCAAGCTCCACTGTAGAAAGCATTGCAATTGCCAGCCGGTACAGCATTTACAGAGCACAAAAATTACTATTTGCCAACTTTGCAGAACAAAGGCATCTGTTCAAAGGGAGGAAGCACAGGCGCCATGTTTGGCTATTTGACAGTAATTGTCCTTCACCAAACAGCTGGAAGAAATGAGCAAACCTGGTCAGTTATGAGTTCATCGTACAGAAGCTGCTCTGCTTCATCCCACTTCCTCTGCAGCGCTTCAGGCAGAGTCGGATAAACTGAAAGACAGAAGTCAAACCATGTGGGAGCCAACAGCACTGTCTGGTGTTAGTTAAGTGCTCGCTCAGCAGCATGAAAGCGTATTTGTTTTGAGAACTCAGTGTTTCTACACAGTGCATGGTCTCTACTGCTTTCAGCAGCTGGAGTTAAACTTAAGTTCCACTCCACGTGGAAGAATACCAATGACCAAAATTTTTTCTCTTATTTCCAGCTAGAAGGCCTCACATTTCTTTGCTGAATGCAATTCTAACAGAGCTCACCCTTTCTGTAAAGTAAGTAAATGAGCAGATACTACAGGGCTGATTCCTATGGCCAGCCCAAGACAAAGCCTATACTGTACCTCGCCTATAGCCTATCCTGCAGGTCTGTGCTAACAATGACAATTTATTTGAGAAATGCCTGTGTGTTATAATGACTAGGACTGAAAACACGCTTCGTATTACATGTTACATTTAATACTCATTTATGTCAAGTTACAAACTCAAAGAAAGTAAAAATTCACCCTCAAGGTTGGCGTAACAAGCCAGCTGCTCCACACATCAATGATTTTCTGAATCTTACCTAAAAGAGAGTGGGGATGGCACACAAGTGGAGTCTCAAATGTCAGAGAGTAAACACAGGTACTCGGCTCGGACACGTAAGCCAATTTGCTGCTCTTTCCACAAACGAGATGAACCTAAAGATAAAACCAAAGGTGAGTGAAACAGCTCTGCAGGAAACAGGACCAGCACTGACGATCAGTTTGCTGTGTCCCAACGCTAGCGATGCATCTCTGTACGTACGGTCACGTCAAAGCTTCCAGTGCTGCCACCCACAGAAGAATCATAGCAAGCCTGTCTTCCAATTACCGTATCAAACGTGAAAATTGCTTCCTCCAACGGGAAATGATCCCCCCACCTGTCATTGCTCCCTGGCCTCCCAAGCACCCTAGTTCCAGCAAGAACGAGGGTGATAGGACACCTGTTAGGACCTCATCAGGCACAAGCACAACTCATTTAACAGATTCTGCCCAATGTGCTAAGTAAAGAGAACGATACACATCTGGCCTGTAGAAATTTTTTTTCATCTCTAAACGTGCAGCACCAGGATTTTCTGTCCATCCAAAGCTAAATGCCAGTGAAGGATCTGAATCACAACACCAATGGCCATGCAAGAGCAGCCCTGAACTCCTTCTGCAGCCCCTATGGGAGATAAGGATGTTAACAAGGCACCTCCGTTACAGTACAGAGTATTTCCACCTTGGCCAAGATGTTTTGTCCCTTACCCTGTCTTCACATTAGTTATTATCCCAGCTACATATCCGTCTCTCTTAATATTGTATCGTCACCCATCATTCTAATGGCTAAGCCTCTTCGACACGACAAGCAGCCTGTTGTGAACCATACGGTATCCTTAACTCTTCTTCACCATAGCGACCTATGCCACCAGGGCATGTGAGGCGTAATTAACTGTATCTGTAAAACTGTGTAACGTGCCAGAATGGGAGGCAGAAAAAGAAAAACATGGATGAATAAAAGGATAAAGGACGTGTGCAAATCAGGTGCCACACATCGGCCAAGTCTCAGACACCCTTCTCTGCCCTTCTGGTTGAACAGTTATGTGGCACAGAGACTGTCTGAAAGTGAAAAGGAACATTTTAGCCACTCAAAATAAGAATTTTTACTTTTCCTTTAAAATGCACTCACACTAGAACCTGGTTCTC